AGATGTGTAGAGCACTATTCTACTACAAGCAGTTTGCCCTCTACTTCTAGACTACCTTTGGGACCTAAAAATTGTGGGTGGTCTCAGGGTTAGGTTGCTAATTAGAAGATTAACTTTTTGTTAAAAGTTTGAAGATTGTTGGTTTGTACTTTTAAAAAGTGGCCTCGAATTAAAGGGTTCTCAGAATTAAAGGGTTCTCAGAATTAAAGAGCTCTCGAATTGTAGAGTGAACTGTATGTATGAGGCTTGCCATCCCAAAACCAACATTATTGACCAAAAAATGAAAATTTTTAACTTATGATGTTCTCCACGTTATAAGCTTTATATTGATGGGTCATTTCACTGGAATCGACTTATTATTGCCAAAGTTATGAGTAAAACTAATGGCTTCTTCTCTGTACTAAAGTATACAATACTTCCACATTCTTATCCTAAGATAATAATAATAATAATAATAATAATAATAATAATAATAATAATAATAATAATAATAATAATAATAATAATAATAATAAAAATAATATGCTAGTTACATAGTGAGAGTTTGCTCGTTTTGGGATGGAAAGCCTCATGTATGCACAGAATATAAATAGATATAAGTGCTTATATACAGGAATAATTTTCAGTGAAGATTTTTTTTTGTTTATTTGGTAGAGTACATCGGATTATGATGAACTTCAGATATTGAACACACCTACTCTGACAGACATTGCAGTGTTTTCTATGGATGATGGTAGCTCATATATGGTATTGACAGAAATTACAGGTAATTACTTAATAAGATCAAGTGCACTAATGAAAAATTCGTGCATGGTTAGGAAGCAAACCATGCAATGAAAAATTAGTGCATGTTTGGGAAGCAAACTATTTACTAAATGAAAAATTAGTGCATGGTTGGGGATAGAAAAATAACATTGAAAGTTGCAGAGATGATGTCATGATTGACTTTAATGTATGTAATCTTCTTTTACGTTTGTGCAAGGGTTCAGAAGACATGCCCTTGGGAAACAGAGGAAGACACGCAAACAATAGACCATTCTGCTAAATCCCGCCCCTTGGATATTGTTGCCAAGGTCCCAAAAAGTGACAGTGTAAAATACATATACATGTGTGTTTGTAGGACACATGTATATTCCTTGCCCTGTTCTGGTTGGTCGGTTGTTTGATAGGCACTCTATAAAGGTTGATTTTGGCTCATTTTAGGCTGTTATTATAAGGTGTGATCTAAGACCCATTAAGCCAGATTGAACCAGAGCATCTAAATTTTTAAGGCACCAAACCACAGCTAATGTCCCTAGTCCCTGAGCGTTTATTGTTGAGAGGAGTTTTTGAGGTGGAAATATCCGAGGGAGGTGTTTATTATTTTTTTTGGTGTAAAACAGATACGTATGGCTTAATTTCGCTGTAAATGTATGAAACAAAATTACTGTCAGAATGTATTATTATGTAATAGTAAAGACGTATTGATCCCAACCAGGTTGTAATTCTATTGGAGTAGAACATTTAATAAAATGTGTTGAGAATGATGTTGCTTCCATTAGATTTGTTTACAATCATTTCGGGGCATTTATTCGAGGGAAGTGTTTATTATTACAAATGAGGCTCTTAGAAGAGGAGTTTATTCAAATTGGGGTGTTTATTCAAATAAATACGGTATATGAATGTAATATAAATCAATGTACATCTAGCATGTTGATACATGGGTAAATGTAATATTTATAAAGAAATTTTATAGATGATTAAGAATAATAATGAAAGTACTGCATTAGCTAAGATGATGATGTGAAAATTTTCTTGTTTAAAAAGAAATTGAATTATTGCATACCTGAAATATTTTATACAGCCGGGACTATATAATAACGATGATTATTGTTTGTATATTTTCTTCTAGCTTGTAGATTTGTAGCTCTGTGTACAGTTTTATACAAGTTCAACAAGGACATTCAAGTGTTTGAACCTGAGCAGGAAATACCATCAAATGGAGCGATTTTACTTGAAACATTTGTACTTGATTCAGTATGGTGTCTAGTCATTATCAACGAACAACTAATTAATTCGACAGATCAGGGCGTAGCTTATGAATGGAAAGGTAAATTCCATTTATCCAATGGGAAGCTTTTGCTTTGCGCAACGACAAAACCAGGCGGGATCTAGTAGGGGGACATGTGCCCACTTCCCATTTTACCACTTAATTATATAATTTCAAGGCTTATCAATGTTATGTCTTGAAATAAGCGCTATTTCCATGTTTATTCTGAAAATAAACATATTCCCCAAATAACTATAGAACAGATTTACTCACCCATGACCATCCTGCATTCTCTGCACAATGTAGATCCAGGCCAAACTACGTTCCTAGAACCAAAGCGACAGTGAGAACTCAAGGTTGCACATGCAGATTACCTCTTGGTGACGCTGTTACGTTCTAGGTCCTACCATTATTTGCAATCAAAAGCGCCCTAATATTTACCTAGCACTTAAAGTAGGCCTAATACAAGAAGTATCTAAGCACTTTTTTATAAATTATTTTTTTAAAATGAGCATACATACAAATTATTCCTTGTTTAATGTTTGGGATTATATTTTTTTTTTCCTTTGGCTTCAGCTACTATTTGGAGTGGCACTGTTTCTATTCTCTATAAATAGTTGGAACAAACACTTAAGCCCGGTTCTTACGAGAGCCCTAGTATCCGGATCGGGAGCTAAACGTTAGCGCTAACTGTTAGCACCTGCGTAAGAATGCCCGATCGGTTAACGCTAACCATTAGCAGTATCCGGATACCACTAACGCTTAGCAAGTTGAGCGCGTTTCGGTCCAATCACACGTACGCGTTTCCAATTTCCAGTTTCTTATTGGCCAGTGATTCGATCATCATATTCTTGGTATCCGGATCGGGATCTTCTCGTATAGACGCACGGCAGCTAACGGGTAGCTGCACTGTGAGAAGATAAGCAACAAGGGGAAGCAAGTTGCTGTCAGATCTACTCTATACTTCAAGTGCATTAAGACTGTTTCGGTGTAAAGTGCTGTATAAATGCAACTACTGTACATTACGAAACATTTAATTTGAACAGAGGGAATTAGGCAGCCATTTCAGGCCTGTAACCAGGTTTATAGGAAAGCGGGGTTTTCTATAGGCCAAGTTTAACTCAGAAAAGTATTTCTTTAATAAAGTTATGATAAAATATTAGTATAGTAGTAAATTTGTAAAATAATTCATTTTCGGAGTCCTGCAACCCTGGTTCTAGGTCTGCCGCGTGAGAGTTCATGTTCTGGCGACCATTGTCAGCTAGCTTACGTGCAATATAATAGTATTATGTAGACAGTTGTGGACGTGAGCTTGTGTCCTTAGTGCTGTGAGTAAAATTTGTTTGGTGTGAACTCACATTCCTGGCAGTGAAGATGTTAATTTGTAACAAAAAATTTTACCTTTCATGGACTTTTGTTTTTATTATTAGGGTCATATTTTGATGAAGTCTGCAAATTTCCTGTCAACCTGTACATTGTTGACGTCTGTGCCTTCACGATTCACAACCTGAAGTTCATTGCTGCCGCCAGCAATCGGCTCTACCACAGACGCGTCTCAGAAATCTTTGTGTACAGTCACATCGCCGAGGATTTCATTCACTATCAATATATATACGTAGAGGGCGCCCTTGACTTTGAATTCTTTTCATTTGGCGAGGGAATTGAACAGGAATTCTTTCTTGCTCTCGCAGTCAATAGGCTGAAATTGGATGGTAAGAGAATTTAAATACCGTATATACGCGCATATAAGAGGAGGCTTAAAATAGCAAATTATGATAAAAAAAAAACAGGGGTTGTCTTATGCACACAACATAAATATTTTAGATTTTTCAAATTTTTATCTTCTGTGCAGATCGTTTGTAAGACGCGAATTTACTACTGCAGTGAAACTATTAAATGTTAGTATGAACAAATGCAATTTTATATATGGGGAAATAAGATTTTGATGAATGGTATTTGGAAGATTAGCCTTGCATTTGGCTTTGTTTTTAGCCAGCTAGATTAGGACCATAAAAAGCAGGAAAAAAAAGTAGGAATTCAGATCATAAAACAGAAGGGTCATCTTACACGCCCCACATATACAAACATCCTTTAAAAATCTTCTTCTCTCGGGGTCGTCTTATACACGGATCGTCTTATACGTGGTACGCCTTATACTCGAGTATATACGGTAATACATTCTAAATAATATGGAAATATTTCCAAAATATAATGTGAATGTTTTTTTATCAACAATTTAGTTTGTACATCAGTGTTTATAAACAAAAGTATTATAGTTGGTTTAGGGTGTGAAAGATTTTAATTATGGACCAGTAATGCTTTTTCCACACTACCTGGATTTTTCATGACAAATATCTATGATTTTACCAAAATACTAATGGTTTGTCCAGATTATCAAATTTTATTTGACAAAAAACTGACACACTTATATATGGCGGTTTGGTGCAGAGGGAACGGTTTGGTTCCCGAACCTCAATGCCGGGGTTTCAATCCCTCGCTGTACATTTCGCTTGTGTCCTTGAGCAAAGACACTTTATCTGCATTGCTCCTGCGCTGATTACCAGCAGAAACATTTAAGCATATGGACCCAATGACCAGGGAAAAAGAAACACTTTGTATCTACAAAGAAAAGGCACTATATAAATGATATAAATAATAATAATAATAATAATAATATGGCCATGATGTGATGTCATCATGACCATATTTAGACATGCCACATATTTTTGTCAAGTAAAACAAGGCCTTAAAGATTAAAAGCTACATTTATTGATTGAATTCTTCTCTAATATCAACAGATGAAAAATCTATTATTTACAAGTATTACAAAGGCGAGTTTAGAATATTTCAGTATGTTGAAGCCAACCAAGCCGAGAAGTGGCATACAATCCGAACGCCAGATGGCCGATTTCAGCTTCTCGTCTTATCCAGTGGCGTGACGGCAAGGTACTTCTACTACGATGGTTGGTGCTTCCGGGAGACAACTTACCAGCCATATTGGGATACCATTCCAGCCGGTGTAAGAGATTTATGTTCGCATACCGTCGACGGTGTCGCATATCTAAGTGTCGCTGGATTTCAAACTGATCCCGATGCCACCAATATTTATATGTTTACGTTTGAGCAACAGAACCCGGTGCAAGAATTGCATGACCGGGCGACAGCCGCCATTGAAGTGGCGAAACAGCTTGTGAATGACACCGATGCGTTAATTGCTAAAGTTGAGAGTGAACTGGATAACTTAGTGGCATTGAATTCTCCAGAAGAACAAGTTATTACCGCAAGGAAAGTCTTCAGTGCTGATGTCAATACAATTGGTTCATTAAATGCAAGTGCATGTAAGTACTCTCTTATCTATTTCTTAATTTTTAAACCACTTTTAACTCTTTGTACATAAATCATATTTACTTACATCACTGTACTCTTGCTTTTAGTGCATGGGGACAGTGGGTCTATTTTCAGTGAAATTGATGGACTGATAATTGCAGAGCTAGCCGAAAATACAACCCGCCGATGGCCTGAAATTGAAGCTATAATTGGACGGTTGCAAAACTTCGTAACATTGTCTGGTGATAATCAAGTTGTAACAGGTAAAATTTTCAGATTAAAATAACTTCATTTCTGGACAAATAATAAATAATTAAATTTAAAAAAAAAGAAAATAAATTAAATAAAATAATAAAAATGAAGAAAAAAATAAAATAATAAATGATAAGTAATAATGGTTAAAAATGTTTCACGACTCTGTTTTGTGATTTGAATCTGTTATTGAGGTTCTACGTATTTTTTATTGCATTTTGTTTAGGTGAAAAATCTTTTGATGCAATATCTGCGGCCACAGTTGTTAGTAGTTCCATCACTGTCGAGTCCAATCTCATAAATTCTCACATCAATCTCACTGAACTTGACCAAAATCTTGTACTAACCGACAAGCCTGTGGTAAGACCCCTTTAATCATTTTGATTTGTTAAAGAAAAAAAAAGCATGGCTAGTCCTAGCTATGCTAGTACTAGTACTAGTCCTAGTACTAGCTGATAATTTTATTGTTTACTGTGATACTTTTGGTTGTCAGTGACAGTTCCAGGGTCTACACATCTCAGCCCCACCATTGGTTGAGGCTGAGGACAAAATATGTGATTATGGCAACCCTAGATGGCTGGAAATGGCACTCTCAGAATTTGATTATAATTTTATTTTTTCTAAATTTTTTAAAATAATTTTTCAAAAATTTAGGGGGGTGGGGTGGAATTCATATATAGTAGTATTAGTGGTGGTGGATTCATTTATATGTAAATATTTTTAAATATTAATCAAATTTTGGTCTGAGAGTGCCATTAATAATTTTGAAAAATTTGTAGAGGGGAGGGCCGTGCTGGCTTGCCCTTATCTCTTTAATCCTCCACTAGTTGTAAGTTACATTGATTGACATTGTCATTTGATGTTTTTATTTTTTATTTAGATCATAGATATACCACTGACGATAGCTGGCGATCTGGTGGTTCTTGAAAACCTTGACATTGATGGTCTTATAAATGGAGTTGATGTGGATAATCTTGTTTTGAAAAATGGAAGCAACATTATTTATGGGAAGAAAACATTCAGAAATGGCCTGAATATTATAGGTGAATATATTTTAAAGAATTAAAAAATAGAAAATTTGTTATTAAAACAATCACTTTACTTCAGTAGCAGTACTTAACTTTCCAGATTTTATTTGATTAATAATAATTATGACAAAGAAATAATTAAAATCATATTGCACCGCATGGTGAGTTAAGATGATAGCAAAAATATGTTTGAACCTAAAATTGACGGAATAGTGTTCATCCTTAGTTACTCAATAACATAGGCTTAGCCAGCGAGTCGTCCAGCCATCCTACAATTATTTCGGACGGCCACTTTTACTGTGACAGCTTGTCCTAATCATCTCGGCCTAGCCTGATTGGATCTGGTCTACATTTAGTAGATCCTTTATATTTTTCAAATCTATCAAATGTTAGATTAAACTAGCTAAATCATATTTATGTTTGATAAAAACAACATTTATTGATTAAATGTATGTTGTTTTCGTACCAATATTCGGTGGGGATTCCCAAAGATAGTGTGAACAGCTTTTTTGGGACAAACTTCAAAGAATGTATCACAAGCTATTGTGATAAAATATTTAAAAGTTATTAATATCTGGCCAATTTCCAATCGGAATTTTCATTTTCACATTTTTGAAGTGGGACGTTGTATTGTCAAAACGAAAGTAAGATGTAACATTTTTTTTTTGTAGGCGACTTGCAAGTTAGAGGGGATATTGATGGTGTTGCCGTAAACGAAGACAATATATTCTTACGGGATGGTGAGCAACATTTTAGTGGCCACCTAATCATTGAAGGTGATGTCCGATTTAATGAAGACGTCCGGGTTGACACTCTGAATGGTATTGATCTTTATGACCTACAAGAGAACGCCGTCTATAAGGCTTACAGGAATCAAACTATTATTTTCACTGGTATGTTCATTATAATTTATTTTAGTGTTGTTGCCATACGAAGTAATAAAAACTCTTCCCCTGAACCCTATCAGGTATTTTTATTCTGGTACCCTGACCGAGGCTTTAGTCGGCCCCTTGCTTTGGACCCATTGCTGGACATTTTGTACCCCTTGTCGGTAAATTTCTGGAGACACCACTCGTTCCTGCTACCGTTGAAGATATTCTTGCTCGTGTATTGTTGCTCGTCTATGAAAGTTGGTCGTATATACTTGCATTTATTGATTTCAGCCCCGTCTTCTAATGGCATTATTTTATTTTATCCAATTCATTACAGATTATAAAGACTTCCTCGGAAATGCAACTGCAGAGGGTGATGTAAGCATTTGGGGGAACCACACGATAGATGGTGTCAACATTCGAGAATTTGAGGCAACAACTATGCAGCCAGATGTTGAGTACAATATGACAGGTGATACTCTATTCTTTACATTAATGGTAAAAACTTTTTGAGAAAAAATACATACAGCCCCAATTGGGATTTGAACCCAGGATCTTCTATCTACCATTTTCTTAGACATCAATGCCGTACCTAAAGGTACGGCATTGATACACATTAAATTATACACTTCATTTTTTCCCTTTGCTTTTTACTTTTCAGTCATAAAACCTTGCTCTCGATACCACCACATCCTCTCCTTCTGACATTAGAACTGCTTCTCTTATGTATGCCCTATTAGTGTTAAGATTTAAAAATTACCCCTTGTATATTATTTGTTTTATTGTATTCATTGTTATTGTGTGTTTGGAGGAAAATAGTCTTGATGGCTAATGAAGCAATAAAATTGAATTGAAATAAATTGATATTAAATTTTGTCACCATCTAGTTTTTCCACGTAGGTGAAAAATTATTCAGAATTTTGTCTGATTTTCTTTTTCAAAAAACTTCTGTTTTTAGGTAAACTGACTGTTCAAGGTAATGTAACGGTAGAAGGAAACATGTTTGTAAATGGGACCATTGATGGGCTTAGAATCCCAGAGGATGTCGTGTTAGTGAATAGCTCCGAGACACAAGTCCTTTCAGGCAAATTGAATTTCTCATCCGATGTAATCGTTGACGTAATGCACGTCTTGAAAAGTATTGATGGCATACGCTCTAACTTGGGTAAGATACAATTTTTATGTTTATTTAGAGATAAGGTCTATGCTGTGTGTGTTATTGCTATTAATATATACAATTATTTCATAAATTTATTGTAGTAATTACAGTATAATTATTATTCAGTTTCTGTTTTTAATGTTGTTTACTTATTGTGTTATGGTTTTTGCATTAACAAAAACTTATTACTTAATTCTGATCATTGAAATTATGTGTAAAGTGCAGATTATCTTAAGATGGTGTTTGAATCTTCATTACAGGTGAAAATGAGGATGAGCTAGATATCCTTCTCACTACTGGTGGTCAAACTGTCCTTGGTCACTTGACTTTTGCGAATGACGTGCACATTGTTGGTAACGTAACTGTTGATAATACGCTTGGCGGTGTAGATGTTGACTTCCTGAACAAAGTGGTTACCAAGGATACAGTACAGACCATATATGGTATGTCATGTTCTGAAGTCTGACAAACTGTTAGATTTTGTTTGTCAGGGCCTATTTCTGCTAAGCAAAATAACATGTGTTTTTATACAGTTATTAAAAAACAAGTATTTTTTTCCCAGCAAAAAAAGAAAAACATGGTTAGGAATGCGTTTTAAAAGCACTCATTCGTTATAGGGTTGGCGTTTGAAAAACGTGTTTTGTGGCGAAGAAAAAGATTAAACCAACAGGATGACATGCTTGAGGCTTTACCATAATTTTTTCGTGCTTTTGCGCTGTGTTTACTTCTTTTGCAGCATGAGCTGTAGCTCGCAGGAAGTAAGGTCAATTTAAACTTCAGTTGGTGATAGCCATTACAAGCTCCGCCCACCTGCCAATGCTCACATTACCATGTTTTTATTAGTTGCACTTTTCACAAGAAATGCTTTCCGAAGGAATTTAACCTTTTAAAAAGAATGTGTGTTTTTTGCGTTATTTAGCAGAAATGCACCCTCAGACTCAACATTGTTTGATCAGACTATGTCAGATTTTTTTCATAAGCCCTGTCCAGACAATCAAATTATATTTGACAAAAACAATAAATATGGTAATGATGTCATTACATCATGACCATATATAGGCATATCATGACTGTATATGGGCATACAAATTTGATGGTTTGGACACAATTGGATAAAACAATTTTTTCTTTTATTTTTAAGGTGAGAAGACATTCCTCAATCCTGTAACAATTGAGGGAAATTTAACTGTTGGCTTGATCAACGATATTGACATTGTGGATTTGAATGAACGCGCTGTGAGGGCTGATGATGATGTCATTGCGACCTTGGGTCAGATTATTTTCCTAGGTGAAGTTGAGGTGAGTCGCTAAGCTTATATCAATAATATGTAAATAATGTATACATTTGGCATATTCAGTAAATCTAACAACATGTTAATCGTTGATTATACAGAGTTGATAAGTTGCTGGTTATTGCAACAATTGCCAGGTAACATTCTTTAATATGCATTTCACCAAAAAGTATAAATTGATAAAATGCAAATTTAACTGCTTTTGATATATGAAGTTTAATGTAGTGTTTGTTAAATCATAGGGGAAAATAGAACATCTCTTTGACACAATGAAATATTTCTGCAAGAGTTTTTGCAATAAAAATGGCAAGCATAACTAAGAAACAAAGTACGTTTATTTTAGATTCTTGGCAATTTAACAACCAACGGTTTACACAGCTTCAATGGCAAGACATTGAGCGATCTTGTCCTCCTTGACGAAGACCAAGTTATAAATGGCGAAAAGTACTTCCTAACGGACACCCACACAAAGGACAATGTCAACGTAGATGGTCTAATTAATGGCATTGACCTTTCTGAATTATATGCAAATAGTGCGGTTGTGATGAACGCCTCAGGAACTGTTCACATGGAAGGCGACTACACGTTCGCTGATGACCTTTATATATATGGCAATGTTACTGCTCCACCAGAGGTTAATGGTATGAAGAAGCTATTTAAACAATTTGGTTGATTGTTACCTTAAAAATCATATTAGTATCCTATTTTTAAAATATATAAAAATGACTGAATATGAGCCAATGCCTAAAATTATACTTGTGTAAGTTGAGCTAATATAGTAACCAAACTTTGTCATATCCACACTATCTAATAATAATTTGTGATGTGCCCATATATGGGCATAATGATGTCATATTACAGTCAAATATGGGCATATTAGTTACTTTACATAAAATTTGATAGTGTGGGTAAAGCATTAATTTTATTGAGTTAATATTAGCTTTGAATTGTAAATTGGAACAAAAATAACTAACAAACAAATGAAGCCATTTTAATATTATCTGCCTACATAGAAAATATAAACAAGGTTTTGATTTGTGGGTATAATGAGACATATTTTTATTTAAGTATGCACTAACATTGTAATTTGATGAACAATACATCTCCAAAAAGACATCATGATATATTATTTATAAATATTTTTCATGTTTGTTTAGGTATTCTTTTGACTGACATTGTTACGACGACAGGATCACACACGATCACATCAAACATTACCTTCCTTGGCGATCAGACTGTTGAAGAGCTTGTGATCTTAGGAGACCTTTGGGTCGAAGGACTTGTAGATGGCGTTGACATCAATGACCTTGATGAAAACACGCTTAAGATATACGGTACAGTATAGTAATGCATACATAGAATGAAATTTGCTGTGTTTTCAACCCCAGTTATCCTTAATAATTTTAACTCTTCATCCTTATTTCCTAAATACAATTACATCACACCAGTGCTTCGGGACCATTAGCCTATCTAGGATGCTCGATATGGTGCTGATGGGGAGGCGCAAATGTAAAGTGGGGACTCATTAATTTAGGGGTGCTTCTTCATAAAATGAGGTAATACGAGGTGAAATTTTTACCTAAACCTTTAATTGCAAATTCATTAACAGCCATTAATATTGTTCTTAAATTCTGATACTATGAATATGTTATTGCTACATTGCCGTCCCATCTAAAAAAACATATATCAGTTGATGAACCCATTGAAAAAAATAATAAAGCTATGTCTAGCATGTGACATGCCTAAATATGCTCATGACAGCACATCATAACCATATATAGGCACATCATGACTATATATGGGCATAAAACACATTACCAACATCACATTTGATGTGTGTCTTCACCTTTTTTTTTCCTCACAGGTGACCAAGTTGTTACTGGAGAGAAACATTTCACACAAAATCTCACCATCCTTGGTAACCTTTCTGTGTCTGGATTAATAAACAACGTGGACATAGTGGACTTGGCTAATGATGCCGTATACAAAACTGGGTACCATGAGATTTCAGGAGAAAAAACTTTCTTGAACCTTGTTCATCTTTACAGCCTCAATGTGACAGGTAAGCTGGTTTTCATGTGCATAGATATCATTAGGCAAACTTTCTATGTGCTCAAGCTTTTAGCTTCTACTCTGTGTGGATTTTTAAAAATCCTGACTTGCTGAAACCCTACCACGGATACTTTCCAACCAGAACAATTAGCAACCCAGACATTCTGGGTTTCATAATGTCTTTAGCATTTCGGAAAGTTTGGGTTTTTGTTTTACACACATTAGGAACGAATCGATCCATAAGCAATTTGTCCCATTGGATATGTTAAAATTGGTTGATGCAATTGGGTAAATCTTTTCAAATAGTTGACAAATGTCAACTATGTTGTGTATGTGGTTTTTTTTAAATAATCAAGTTTGATGTTTAGATTGTGGTTTTTTGTGACCATTCAGCTAGCTATCATGTACGCATCCTCTTTCCCTTACCCATGCAGACATAACCATATTCAAAGATAATGATATTTCAAGAAGATTTATAAGCAAGTATTTTCAAAATAAATAAAGAAAAACAAAGGAATCCTAGGATTTGCGTGGATGAGTTCACATTTATCATGGTTATATTAATACAAATGTTAGCATTTATATCTCAATTCTAGGCCTCATAAATGGTATTGATCTGGATGAGTTCAGTAGATCAGTGATGCTTCAAGGTGCTGATCAAGTAATTACTGCTCCTACGATACGATTCGCTGAGGATGTGACCATCGACAATGACCTTAATGTTACGGGATTGGTCAATAACCTGGATATTGAATATTTGGATTCGGTCGCTATCAGAATCACAGATGGTGTAATTCCAGGTATAGAATTATTTTCTTGCGAAAATTGTTTTTTGTAAACAATTAACTGTGTTATTATTACAGATTTTCATTACAAGCTATAGCTGCCAATATCAGAATCCTTTTATTGGATTTTATCTCACGCTTGTAGATGTAAATGAAGGAATATATACATACTTTTTTAAATTGAGAAAATGTATTCATATCAACAGCCAACCATGATTTGTTGAAAGAGTAGGATTAGTGTGTCTTTAGGATTCGTTTAAGTATTATTTTCTCGGTCTGGTTTTTCAAGTTTTATGTTAAATGTCTCCACAATATATGCTTTATAAGTCGACTGTAATTACTACCTCCACCAAAGGAGAATATGTATTCACTGCTGTGTGTCTGTTAGCAAGAATATGCAAGAACTAATGAATTTAGCGGAATGGTACAAGAGATTCCAAAAATAAGTCAATGGACAAGTTGAAGGTCATGGAAATTTGATTTGTTACTGTCAAGCATAAAAGAAGATAATTGAGTCTCCTCGAATTCAGGCAGCACTCAAGCAAATATTGTGCCTGAATACAATGGGCGATTCAATTATTTTCTTGAAGGTTATGTTGCAGCACTTAAGAAAATAATGTGCCTGAATAGGACAGGCGATTTCATTGTTTTCTTGAGGGTATGCTGCAGATTCGCCCGCCATACATAGCCAGTTTTTTGTTGGTATTCAGGCGCAGGGGCGGAGGTATGCACTCTATGGAGTGAATGCTCTAGTTATTATTTGCATTGTAAATTCCAGTTAACATATTGTATATATTTTGGTGTAATTTTCAGTGGAAATGCATTTTGAACATCTTCATGTTGAAAGCTGTGGCATCAATGTCACTGGTTTGGTTGACGGCATTGATCTTAGTGAGGAAGCAATCCTGATTGATAAACCAGTAAGTTGACAACAATATAGTTTACATGGTATAAAGGGGTATGTACAAGCTATCAAATTGTATGACAAATTTGTGAAATGTGCCCATATATGGGCATGATGATGTCATATTACAACCAAATATGGGCATATCATATTTATTTGATAGGTAGTGTGGACAGTACTGAACAAATACAAATTTGGCAAACACAAGCCAAACCAGTCACTCGTCGCAAAGATCAATTTTTAGACAATACTGGGTTAAACAGTAAAATGAGAGCTATAAAATGGTAAAGCAATGATATGGAAAAAAAATACCATAATACTGAATTACATGCTTAACTAGGAATAGTTGCACATTGTATTATGATTGATTCTTTATTCAGTGATCAGGGACAGATGACCTTGAGCAAATGTTTTTTTCTAAAAACGGTCAATTTTCTGTACAGTATGTCTGATATTATTTAAATAATTAGTCTGTCAATTTTAACAAATGAATAATATTTAAATAGTTTTATAAGTAGTTGCCTAATATAGTCCTAATGTGTAATTTTAATTGTTTATCTATTTGCATATCGTAATTTGAAGTTTGCTTAGTGTTTACATTTTATTGATCTTTGTTTGGTGTTGATATTAATTAAAAGGAAAAAAAGCACTAAGCAGGTAAATATGTGCCAATATAGTTGGAATAGAGTTGGCGGTGCCAGCAATTTAAACCACGCAAAAATTAGAAGTCTTCTAAAAAATGTTATTTTTTAACAGGGTCAGGTGATATCGGGTCAAAAAACGTTTGAAAACACGGTGACTGTTGGTGGCGATATTGATATAGACGTCATCAACTCAATAAATCTGACAGAACTGCTGAGAACGACTGTTTTATACGATTCGGACCAAGTCATCACAGCAACGAAACACATCATTGGTAATTACATTGTAATCTTCGTTATAATAAATTGATTAAAAATGTGTGTATTGCTTTGGTATTAGTAAATTCAACTACAGTATCATGTTCATATGGAAGATTGGTGCTATATTTTTTTACTATGATGCTCACATCGAACCACTCAATTATGTTATTCTATCCTATGAAAGACTGCCTTAAATATTAAAATTTTGAGATTCAACTGACCCTTCTACATGCAATCCTTGTACTGAAAAAAAACCATTACTATTAGAGGTAATATTCATATTTTTCTACTTTGTCTTACAAAAATGGACTATTGTGCTCAGCCCCGCCCCTTGGATATTGTTACGAAGGTGTCATAAAATGAGCCATAACACAGTCGTAAGAAATTGGGGACATGAGCATATTTTTGGCCCCACTTATTTAATAACATGTATGACTGGCAATTTATTTATTTATTTATTTGCCAAATTTCTATAGCGCCCTTTTCATGAGTACTCATGTTCAAAGGCACTTTACATTAAGAATGCAAAAATGTAAATTTTAAATATTACAATTATTATCGATTATATACAAGTTAATTTAAATAATTAGATTGCAAAATTAATGAAAATATTATTAAAACCTTAAACTACAATAAATTAAGTAAAAATATAAACAATTGAGAATATCTCAAATTCATAGATTAATATACATTAATATTTATAAATGATGCAATAAAAAAATAATTTAGAAAAAATAGATCCAAAAAATGAAAACCGTTATAAAAAGTTATTAGTTTGCACAATATCTCAAATCTAGGCATAGATTTCAATATTTATTAACAATAATTTATTAACAATTGAGCTATAATTAAAACCATAAAACTACAATTAAATTACCGGTTAAAACAATTTATTACAAAATTTTAAAACTGCGCAGCAGTAACAAGTTATTAATTATAATTTAGGATGACTAAATGCTCATAAAGGTTTGTCCAGATTATCAGTTTTTCTTTGACTAAACTGGTGTATGCTAATTTAGTCATGATGTGCCTATATGTGGTTATGATGTAATGTCATCATGACCATGGCATGTCACATTTTTTTATCAAACAAAATTTGATAGTCTGAACGAGGCTTTAGTGAAAAATGAAATTTGTTTTCTTCAGGTGACATGTTTGTGGATGGCAACATGACTGTCGATGGGTTTTTTAATTCGTACAAGATTGACTATTTGAATGAGCATCTGCTACAGCGCGATGAAGAGTTAATTGTATTCACTGCCAATGTTACCGTAGAAACACTTGAAGTATACAATGTAAGCAGATAAAAATCGTATTCTATATGCAAACGATATTGTTGGGCAAGACTATTTTTGTTTTTTATTTCCCAATTTTGAGGTCAGGTTTTCAATCCCTGGCTGTGCATTTCGATTGTGCCCAGTTTATCAAAGTACTCTTATCTCTATTCCTTCTCTCCACCCAGTAGCATACAGTAAATGGGTGATTGGTGGGTTTTGCTTGCTCTGCAATAGCATATTTACCCAAGGACCTGAGAAAGAAGCATATGCATCTGCAAAGAAATGCGCTATATTTATATAACCAAATGAAATTAATTTATTTTAATTTTTATTTTTTTAATTATAGGATGTGAAAACACTTTCTTCCTTATTCTGTGGTCAAAATCTGACCGACATCAGGCAGTCGTACCTGAGTAAGACATTGCCGCAGACCGTCTCAGCATCCATTCACTTCGCAGATTTAGAGGTCAATGATGACCAGTTCCTTGATAATGACATCCTGGTGGCCAATAGTGAAGAGGTCATAGGTCACTATGTGAATGATATTGACCTGTCCTTTATGAGCAGCTTGACCGAGGAGGGCGAGACCATCCAGGCAGTAAACGGCAGTGTAACCTTTTTGAAGGGTTTTGCTACAGGTTTGTATAACAATTGCACATCAGTGATTCAAATTTAACTTATTTATTTTCTATATGTGTGTGTGTGTATATATATATGTGTGTATATATGTGTGTATATATATACAGGTTTCATTTCTTTAAATTTAGCTACAGATAGAATTGCATGAAGAATGGATGAATGAATGAATTGATGGATGAATGAATTGATGAATGGATGGATTAATTCAGTGTAAACACCAAGGATAACCCATGAAAGTCTGAAGAAGACTTATTTCCAGTGGGGTCCTTCCTTGTGGTGATTGGGCAGTACACTGGGAGTCAGTCCCCTACCTTTTGCCAATTAGTTCTTTAACATAATACACACGGAACCAACATCCCCCAAAAGGTGGTGCGCTATCATAACTTGTATTTTAGCCCTCCAGCGATGAGAATTGAACCGGAGAACTAAAGATCACGCAATGGTTACCACCAGTTTAGCAAATCTAATCTTATATTTTTCAGGTAACATAACTGTACTCGGCACAATCAATGGGATTAGCCTACCTAACGATGCGATGTTGGTTGCTGGCAACAATGTTGTCACTGGAGAGAAGACGTTTGTTGACTTTGTTATTATAAATGGCGACCTCATTATGGCTGAAAATGCAACGATCGCAGGAACAGATATTTCAGCCTGGGCTGAGACAGTAGTCTATGCGAACCAACCATTAATGCAAACAGTCCCTCTCAACTTCAATGATGATCTTGTTTTTAATGATGATTTGAGGTGAGCGAATCATTATAGGTCATGGGGCGGGGGAGGTCTTCATAAAGCAAGTAAACTACTACTGTAAAATGGTAATTTTCGTGTGTGTAAATTTTTGCAGTTTGCAACCCTATCATTATATTCGTGAATTTCAATTTTTTATACTGTATGTTATTCTGAAGTATAAGCTGCACCCCTTAAATTAGGATGAAAGATCAGAACCAAGACTCCTCAGCTTCCGAATCAAGAAGCTCAGATGAGTCGTTTATAGAGCTCACTCCTTTGTACGCAAAATTGCAAAAATTAATGTACTGCAAAAATTAATGTACTGCAAAAATGACTACATTTACTGTACAGTACACTTGCAAAACAGGAGTGTATCCTGGATTTTTTTTTAGGGCTACCAAGATATTCAGATGATTTGAATCAACACCTTCCTCAGGCCCACCATTGGGGAACATGGTTTATCAAATTATCAACCACTTCTAATTTTTAATTTAAGCTAATATACTAGGCTATTATTTCAGTCATAAAAAAGGGGTCAACATTGGTAGGGGTGGGGGCTAAATCCTGTTTAGCCACCACACCCTCTAAATCTAATATTATTAAGCAACTATTATTTGGGACCTGAAATTTTGTGGTGGTCTTGGGGTTTGGTCTTGGAGTACAGTATTAGCTTTGTGCTAAAGCAACTCCCGCACTATCACAACTTATATGCACTGCGATCAGTATACGACCGACACCAACCAGCGTGAGAGCTGCTATGAGCAACTTGCTTGTGTAGAAGAAAGGGTCGTCGATGGTCGCGGAATGTTCAACATGTTGAAAAAAATATAGTGGTCGGTACTGGTCGCCAGGTGCTGCTTCCGGTCAGATACGACCGTAGGTTGGTACGGTCGCATTGTTAGGTCGCGATAATGTGAGACAGGCTTAAGACTTGACGATTGAGTTCTTTGAAAAATGGTTTTGAATAAAAGAGGTCTTGGAATTAAAGGTTCTCGATTTGGGCTCGGGTGCACGTATAATAATATATAAGGGCACTTTTTGGAAGGTGCTTGACTTGAAATTTTTCTACATTTACAGTGTTATGGGATTAATCAATGGTGTGTTTTTGGACAGTAGCACTATTCTTCTGACCACACTGGACCAGACTATAACAGGAAGTATGACTTTCACTAATATATCATTTGAAGACATCTGGCTTGGTGGCCTACTCAATGGATTAGATGTTGATGAACTATACAATAACACGGTATTAAAAAAAAAAAATATATATCCATATTGTAATAAATAATAATTATGTAGGAGAGTTTGGTTTTTATTACACACCCTGCCCAAGCAATTCCATTATGCTCAATTTGAGCTATAGACACTTGCTTATTTTCCATGTGGCAATTATGCACCAGTACATATTAGCCCACAATAAGTGGACAAGTGTGATGTTCCACACAATCATTACTCACTGTAAATAGATAATGTATACGTGTATATGTTTTGTATACATGTGTATGTTTTTTAGTGACACACATTTACAGTGAGAGCTTTTCTCCCTTTTTTCATAATCAGTTTTTCATGCCAAAATGGTAAAATAAAAAAATATTTAAAACAATTTTAATAAAGCTTTTAAAATTGTACCCCAGCAGGGGCTGACACATAAAAGATATTTTGGGGGTGGGGGAGGGGATGTTAATTGCTAAGCACCTCCCGTTATCTATGTGGTGTCCAAAAGCTACACCACCTGAAAACATGTGAACAGGCCTGGAAAAAATGTGCCTCTGACCATGATAATGCCTCTGCACCAAATGTTATCTCTACACCATAGCCTAACAGGTTATTTTTTTCGATTTTTTTACCCCCAAAATGCCTATTCAGGTTAAGAATTCAGGTCAAGATATTCAGGTTTCCTTTTTTGGCTGCTGCATGTGATTGAACCAGGGTCACAATATCTTATGGTTCAGCGCACATAAACCACCAGTTTTAACCAACTGTGCTATGCTGATCACATCACCTGTCTCTGAAAATAAAGATTGTTGTTTATGCCATTGCCACTTATTGGCCTTAATATAAATATAAAGCGGATTATAATCATTTGTGATTTTTTTTAAAAATGTTTACAGTTATACGACGTGGGAGACCAGGAAATAGCCGGCATGTACTTTGACGGTACACCAACATTCACTAACATCACGCTTGGCGGTCTTATTGATGACGTTGACTTGTTGAACTTGCTAGAGAACCTTGAGCATATGGTGCAGTTTGACCAGTTCAATGAAAGTCTTGAGGAAAGGTGCCAAGCTATCAATGAGTTGCATGAGGCTCAGGAGAGTAAGTTGATCTTGTCATTCATTTTACCATTCAGTGTGTTTGCATTTAGAATATGCGTTTCTTTACGTCCGTGCTCTGTGCCAGGCTTGCCCTGGGGGATTTTTCTGGCAGCCACAGTGCAATGCCACCCAACTAACATACAACGTGTAAAGTTGAGCATCCACTAGGCCCGATGGTCGTCAGCCGACCCAATTCTATGTATAACGCATAAAACATACGGATAGTTTTTAATGACGTATCCGTTCAGATTGCCACCGACAATCAGCAGACGGTGTAGGGTCATCTAGCGCTCATTGGGATTGGAGTTGGGGGTCGTCGTACGACTGTCGTGGGACATAGTGAGTGCTCGGCTTTTAAGAATAAGGGAGTGTGTATACCCATACTGAGGTTTGGGTGCTTGCTGGCTTGGAGTTCTTTCTCTCTGGTTTTCCCAATTACATCAGTTCACTTGTTTTGTGCATAGACTCATATTTTGTGCGGTATAAATGAATAACCTTTAACCTTTTAACCGTATGAATACAAACTTGTCCCTTAACTGGGAGGTTAGTCATGGATCTGAGCTACCATACTCCATTTAAAATTCGACAATAGCTGGGTTTGAACTGGGTTTCTACAGTGCAAGAAGCTGGAACATTGCCTCTCAGGTAAACCCTCAACTAAAAGACGATATTAGTTTTTTGAGAATAATTCTTTTTGTTACTGTTCACATGTTCGGTTAACCTTCAGATAGTGCAGTGCTGATTGGCTGCTCCGAAATATTGACCACCATCTCAACGACGGGTCACGTCAGCTGGGATTCATTCGTCATCGACGACGAGCAATGGTTAATGATGGGAACCACGGGAAACGGGTCAAGTAGCTGCAATCCAACAATACTCTACAAGTATAACAACACCTTAGAAAACTATGTTGAACAAATGGTGGGTATAAAACATTTTTTTTTTTTTGATAGCACTCGCGGGGATCGCAAGTTCCAGCAATTTGTGGGAGACAGGAAATTGGCAGGGTCTCCCGCCAGTGGTGTATCTAGGAGTCTTGGAAGGGGGTGCGCGAATTTTAAAGTTAGGCTAGATGATTAGATGAGGGGGCTAGCTCGTAAATGAGCCCCAGTGCACCCTCCTAGATCTGCCACTGTCTCTCGCACACCTGTAAGCCAGCAACATCTCCATAGAAAAACTAACCAATTTCCCTGCAAATTATTGTTTGCATGTATTTACTGCTGCTCTCTGAAGAAAGCTGGCCAAGTCATCAAACTCAGCAAAATACAGTGCAGTGACCTGAGGGCCTCCCACCCAAAATTTTACAAAATATTTAAAAAATGGAGGAAAAAGGTAAATTATATGCAAATTTTAAGTCTGAGAGTGCTTTTTTCCTGGCCATGTAGAATGCCACAATCATAAATTTTATGATGGTTTAGCAGTTAATGCAGATATCGCCTATGGTTCTGGTTGTGGAATAAGTCTTCTTGAATAAGGACTATAAATCGTAGACCTAATGCACACAAATTGGCTAATGTGACGAGTAGGAGATTACCCCAATGTATTGGTCCATACAGCTACTGTTGTTGACTGGTTTACTGGGTAGCTCAGGCATAAAAGCAAGCAAGTTACTCTACAAACTACAGTAGTTCACACCTCAAGGGCTTTGAGACAGTTGCAGTTTATAATGCTACTTAAATCCAACTACATTTCATCTACATCCTTCAAAGCATTTCAATGTTGTTCATTAATTTAACAAAGATATAATTGTGTTAAATACGTTTTGCATCTTACCATTAAAATGAAAGGTACACCGTAGTAGTAGTAGTGTTTGCAAATTGTTTTTCTTTAGGTGTTGTATCCTTCCAGAGCAGATGATGTGAGTTCGTTCACGTTTATGAGTCTGTCATTGCTTGTAATAGCGAGTCAGGGAGATTACTTAGAGGACTGCTCATTTGAAATAACTATGTATGTTCCTCCAATCAATGCTCGTAAGTAATACTATCTGTATTTCAAAAAGCAGTTGGCACTACGGTTGTGGTTTGGACCTTGAGAACAAGGGTTTAAAACCATCACTATGCAGGTCCCTAGGCAAGGCACATTTTCTACGTGTCATTTTCATTATTTTCATCCAGGTGTAATGGGTACAGGAAATGAAGAGTGGTGAACCCCCACAGCCTTGCACAGTCCGGACAAACTTAGAGCTTTAGGCTTTTTTTGACATGGTTGATACCAAAATACTCATTACAAATCCTTGCACATGATTTTTATGTCAACATGAAAAAGTTTGCAGGCTCATTCTGAATTTACTGTTTGCAGCAAACGCTTCCGGCTCTATCTCAGTCTTGCTGCTTTCTGCCGACACTGTCTCCCACTATCAGAAAATTGACATCGACAATCCGCAGGATGTTGAAGTTTTTGAGAATCCGTTGACAGGTGACATTTGCATGACGGTGGTGGAGGCAACAGTATTTACAAGTCATGGCTTCACTGCAAACACCTTTGCTAGTGTGTTCTGTATAAACAATACAGATTTGGGCTTTGTCCTTGTAACAACCATTCCAACCCGAGGTGCAGTTAAGGTGAGACTATTACCCGCTCCCTTATGCGAAATCCTTGATGGTAATACAAAAAGTGAACGTGCAAAAGCCCTAAGAAATTCAAACAAAATGTATGTACCTTTTTCAAGACTGACATCATGTCACAGATCTATTTTTATTCACGGACCAAATATCTGGAATGAGCTATATGATAGCCTTTTAAAAATAAATTCGCAAAATTCGATCAAAAATAAATTGAAAGAGATGATTTTAAATACTTATTAAGGAAAACTATGATCGCTGGCACTTTCCGGGGCAGTACACTGTCGGAGATGTCTTGGTATCTGAGGCGCACGGTATTATTACTATGACGTGATGATCACTGAGGCATTTCCCCTTCCTGGAGGTGCCGGCGATTGTGGGAGATCCCAAATTTAAAAATTAAAATGTTGATGTGTTTACTATGTATTCCTGTCTCTTATACACATCTAGATGTGTATAAGAGACAGCTTTGACGGTACACCAACATTCACTAACATCACGCTTGGCGGTCTTATTGATAACGTTGACTTGTTGAACTTGCTAGAGAACCTTGAGCATATGGTGCAGTTTGACCAGTTCAATGAAAGTCTTGAGGAAAGGTGCCAAGCTATCAATGAGTTGCATGAGGCTCAGGAGAGTAAGTTGATCTTGTCATTCATCTGTCTCTTATACACATCTAGATGTGTATAAGAGACAGCTATGTGAATGATATTGACCTGTCCTTTATGAGCAGCTTGACCGAGGAGGGCGAGACCATCCAGGCAGTAAACGGCAGTGTAACCTTTTTGAAGGGTTTTGCTACAGGTTTGTATAACAATTGCACATCAGTGATTCAAATTTAACTTATTTATTTTCTATATGTGTGTGTGTGTATATATATATGTGTGTATATATGTGTGTATATATATACAGGTTTCATTTCTTTAAATTTAGCTACAGATAGAATTGCATGAAGAATGGATGAATGAATGAATTGATGGATGAATGAATTGATGAATGGATGGATTAATTCAGTGTAAACACCAAGGATAACCCATGAAAGTCTGAAGAAGACTTATTTCCAGTGGGGTCCTTCCTTGTGGTGATTGGGCAGTACACTGGGAGTCAGTCCCCTACCTTTTGCCAATTAGTTCTTTAACATAATACACACGGAACCAACATCCCCCAAAAGGTGGTGCGCTATCATAACTTGTATTTTAGCCCTCCAGCGATGAGAATTGAACCGGAGAACTAAAGATCACGCAATGGTTACCACCAGTTTAGCAAATCTAATCTTATATTTTTCAGGTAACATAACTGTACTCGGCACAATCAATGGGATTAGCCTACCTAACGATGCGATGTTGGTTGCTGGCAACAGGAAAACAATTAAAAACGGAGAACTTAAAAGCATTTGTACGAGCAAATCATGATTTTTATGTCAACATGAAAAAGTTTGCAGGCTCATTCTGAATTTACTGTTTGCAGCAAACGCTTCCGGCTCTGTCTCGGTCTTGCTGCTTTCTGCTGACACTGTCTCCCACTATCAGAAAATCGACATCGACAATCCGCAGGATGTTGAAGTTTTCGAGAATCCGTTGACAGGTGACATTTGCATGACGGTGGTGGAGGCAACAGCATTTACAAGTCATGGCTTCACTGCAAACACCTTTGCTAGTGTGTTCTGTATAAACAATACAGATTTAGGCTTTGTCCTTGTAACAACCATTCCAACCCGAGGTGCAGTTAAGGTGAGACTATTACACACTCCCTTATGCGAAATCCTTGATGGTAATACAAAAAGTTAACGTGCAAAAGCCCTAAGAAATTCAAACAAAATGTATGTACCTTTTCCAAGACTGACATCATGTCACAGATCTATTTTTATTCACGGACCATATATCTGGAATGAGCTATATGATAGCCTTTTAAAAATAAATTTGCAAAATTCGATCAAAAATAAATTGAAAGAGATGATTTTAAATACTTATTAAGGAAAACTTTTCTTGGGAGTAGACTATGATCGCTGGCACTTTCCGGGGCAGTACACTGTCAGAGATGTCTTGGTGTCTGAAGCACACGGTATTATTACTATGACGTGATGATCACTGAGGCATTTCCCCTTCCTGGAGGTGCCGGCGATTGTGGGAGATCCCAAATTTAGAAATTAAAATGTTGATGTGTTTACTATGTATTCTGTGTGTGTATGTTTTGTATGTTTGGTATTCAAACTGAGAAGCCACCGCTTCTTTTGATGCCTATGTAAACAATTTGTAATTTGTTGTGGATTTTTTCTGAATAAAATGTATGATTTCCTACAATATATAATACTTATTCTATGGTTTGCAACTTTTCCCAGACTACACTACTAAAAAAGCTTGTGTTCCCACATATGCTTTTTGTTTTAGGGGTTGCAGGGCAACAACCACCTCAGTCCCTGCCATTTTGACACTGAAGTAAAAAATTCTAGATGCCCTGAAATGGCATTTATATATAAATGCTTTTCATTGTTTCTAAAACTACAAAAATGATTGGTATTGCCCTCTTTTTAAGTAATCCTACCAGATTCTGCTGAGTAGTTTTGTATTTTTATGGTTGCTTTTGTAAATTTGAAATGGTAAAATAAATGATATATGATATGTTACTCCTAAATGTCAAATATTTTTACAATCCACACTCCTCGAAAGTAGAATTAAACATCAACACAATAGGAGAGGTGTTGAACTTCGGATCCTGAGATCGGGAGCTCGAGACCGACGCCCGTCGAATTGCTTCGGTCCTTGGACAAAGAACTTTACTTACGCTTGCCTCTCTCCGTCCAGCAATATAAATGGGTAACTGGTAGGATGGTTATCCATTGAACGTTTGGGTTTTGCCCGTAAAGCAGCATGAATAGGGATACTCCCCAGGCAGCAGTGAAAGTATCACAAAAATGTGCTTGTTTGCCAACTTAGTATCCAGTGACCAGGGAAATACTGACACCAGTGCCTTGTGCATTCTTCAGTTTGTGATAGGCCTTATATAGGCCATAGATTTTTTTTTTCTATAAATTTGTTACTTAAATACATTTTCTGTGTAAAAACGTTACAATTAACAAAAAAAAGACCAAATATAGCTGTGGTCGCTTTCATTTATTTATTTGTACCAGAAGACCCATTTGTGATGCCTCACAAATTATGTTGCAGGTAAGGCATTACCTTGTGGATGGGGTGCTTCACCTTGCGATAGCCAATTTCGTCGACACTTCACTATCCTCCGTGGACACCTACTCAGAAATCTGGATCCAGTCTGGTGCCAACTCTTTCACGGAAGCAGCGGAAGCAAGGTCATTGGCAGCTCGGGATATTCTGATGATGGAGATTTATGATTATTACTATGTTGTCATTGCCAATGGTTTCCAGGGAACTCTGACGAATGCGGATTATGATGTTCCAGTTCAAGTTTATCAGTAAGATGCTTGTATTTTAGAGTTTAATTTGTAGTATCTTTATTTCTGTCTACTTCCCCCACTCTAAGTATGTGTTCCATATTATGTGCTTGATCCAAGACAAGGAGTAATAATGTTAAACGCATAGAGGTCTCTACAATATTCGCTCTAAGTTGACCATTATTATTATTATTACTATTATTATTATAAGGTGGAATTTTAAGTTGATGAGCATAGTTTTTTATATATATATGCTGCACAAGTAAACAAAAGCCGACATTTGACATTAAACTATAGTTTAATGTCAAATGTCGGCTTTTGTTTACTTGTGCAGCATATATATATAAAAAACTATGCTCATCAACTTAAAATTCCACCTTATAATAATAATACTAATAATAATAATAATAG